TATATATATATACACACACGTATTTTTTTAAATTCTACATAAATAATTTTAAATATTAATCCTTTGCGACCACAGCGTTAAATCGTTATATACAGGTATTTATTCAGATATTGAGATAAATAGGAATGTTAAATATCGAATCAAACAAATATATTTCAGAAAACTTTAATTTATATTTTTAACTATCTTAAATTTATTTGGAAATGAAGAGATATCCTAAAAACTGCATGGTCTATTCTTCGTATCCTGAACATGATTCACAAACAATGTGCATTAAAAAAATATATGTAATTCTCAATGAATTTTGAACAACCTTGAAGGAACGACAGTACTTTCCAAGAGAACAAATAAACATCTGACTCATCAAGAAGAAATTCTTTTCTATGGTCCATATTTATTTTATCTTTGATTCTAAATCGCCACCTACGTTTGATGCTTCGTCAGCACAGTAATTTCGAAGAAAGCTGGCCGAGGTAGTTGACTATTTTGGCTTCGTCTCGAGCCAGCTGCTAGTGATTCAGTCATGCCAGGAATAATACGGAGAAGAGCGTGTCAGCGTCCTCTACAAAACGAATAAAAATTATTTTTAGTAAATCAGCAACTTCAAGATATACTGACAGACTACGCTGCAAATGTTCAATACAATAAACTGTTAATAGTGTCTATTACAATGCGATCGTATTTATTGTTAATGCAATAGAAATATTTCATGAAAAAAATATAAATTATAATAGACTAAATTCTTCCACAATTTTGTAATAAAATTCTATTAAATAATCGAAATAAAAATTAAGCTTGATCATAAAAAAAAAATCCTTTGTTATTTATTTAAAGTTTTTCGATCTATTTATGAAATTGACACAAAAAATAGAGTATTTATTTACAATTAAATAGTATAGCGCCATCAACTGAAAATATGATATGTAGCAATTTATATGTATTAATTTAATTATATAATTTTTTGAAAAAATATGTACATTGTAAAAAATAAAATGTTAATTTTAACTACTTTAAAGACACATAGTGGACTTTCTGAGACATGCAAAAATGTTAAAATTAATATTTTTGTTAATTTTAACATTTTTGCATATCTCAGAAAGTTCACTATACTATAAGTTAAAATTACACTTTTATTTTTTAGAGTATATATAAAATTTAATTTTTTTTTTAATTAATATAAGTTTATTAAACAATAAAAATAGTCAACGTACTTAAATATACAGACGCGCGCACATTTATACATATATATATATATATATATATATGTGTGTGTGTATGTGTGCGCGCGCGCGCGCGTGTGTGTGTATGTGTGTGTGTGTACGTATGTATGTATAAAGCAAATAATCATAAAACTTATAGGATAAGATATATAGAAGTAAAAGTATGTATGTAAAACGTGAAGTATGTATCTCTTTTTTTATTTTGAAAATCCATTTTACAATTCGTCTAATAAATTATATTATCGTGCAGAAAGTAGTAGATTCTTATCCTTATATTCACTATATTCACTACATCTGCATTCACTCATATATAAGTATAGTTTTTTGAACTTCTGATTATAATATTAAACTATAGATTGATAACTGCTTTTCCAAGATGAAATATTATAGCATTCTCAGTAATCTCTATAATTAGATAATAATTGCACTTCACACACATTTTAACTAAATGGCTGAGAAAGAGATAAATAAGAAAGTGTTTTTTTGTTTGTATATTTTGAAAACAGCATTAAAATATATATTAAAAGACAGATTATATGAACACAAAATATTAAATATTTTTGAGCATATGAGATATGCTATTTGCTTGACACAACTATGTGCACATGTATAGAAATTGTTGAACAGTTCACTGCACGATGTATACAAATATTTTTAATGTATCACTTCACAACAGCAAAATGAATTATCTAATTCGAATATAACTTCGAATTAATAAGGAAAGAAATTTATAGAGATAACGAACGTTAGAAAATGTACTTGTCGACACTCTTTTTCTTTCAAATATCATTTTTTATTCACTTCACTGAACAAGTACTGTGATGTCATTATAAGAAGGGAGACGACGATTTTGCCGGGATTTTCTTCGTTCCTTCGTCTTCGACTTCCAACTGATTATTATTACGACTAGATGTAGCATGAAATAGGGACGTGTGTCAAGGATCCCCACCGAGTTACTTCGCGGGAGACTACTTTAGAGAAACTCATGAGCAACGCGAACTCTACGGCCACTGCAAGCGAACGCTTCGACTCGCGCGCGATTATATTTAATAAAATATCCATTATTCGTGACTCTTTGATATATCTTCTAAAATATTTTCTCGTATATAGCATATAGATTAAAAAAATAATCGTTGCATTATCATAACGTCGAAATAGTATTGTATTTTATTACATTTCGAAGAAGAAATTCCTACGTAGTCAAGTCACAAAAGATAAATTCTTTAAACTATTTAAAAATAACTTAAAGAATTTTGTAGATCCATGCATTTTATATTTTTGCTGTAAACATTTTATAACATTTATGTTCTACCCACAATTGTTAACGTTTGACTGACTAGTCGTTACTAAACTTTGTTTCCTAATATTGTTATTTTAAGTAACTTTCATATAAATCTATATATATATACAAATATGTAAGTGTGTGTATGTGTGTGAATTTTAATGTTCTTTGTTAACAAAATTTAATTTAAAAATTCATGCTTTTCTACAATTGCTTGTTTCATTAGTAGTTGTAATTGTCACAAAACAATGAATATTTTTTATTGTCGATGATATCTACCCATATCTAAAAAGGCAGATATCACAAAAAAATAGATGTTCAGTTGAATACAATCTTTTACAAATCATATATTATATATTAATAATTTACGAATAATTTACTTTTCCAAGATTAGTTATCTATAAAATGTTTTTTGATTTCTTTGCCTTGAAAAGTTAATTCAGTCCAAATCTATTCCTTGTTATACGGCGATTACAAAATATATATATATAACTAATTTTACAATGTCAAAAAATTGATAAATTATCGTTTATAAATAGATTTTTCCTTAATTTCAATATCATAATGTATCATTCAATATCATGCTGTATCATAATGTAAATAAAGCTTTCTCTTAATTTAATTTTAACATATATGATATGAAATAAATAGTAAAAAACATTTATATCTATTTAAAACAATTTTGCATAACTTGCAGAGAGAAAAGAAGCCTATTACGCGGTTCCCGCGGAGACGGGTGCCAGTATTGAAATAGATGCGAAACCTCATCAAGATTTAAAGGAAAATATAATTCTGAGATCTTTATCTCTCGACAAAAATGATTTACCATTTGAAATACAACTTCAACCTGGTGATGAATCGTTGCCTTGGCGAAGAGGACGCGTTCTACCTCGAACTTATGATTCACTTCCATGGCGGAAAGTACAAACAGCATCAAGAGATTCTTCACTGGATAAGCTTCAAGCTTTCGAGAGTCAAATAAAACCATGGACCGAGGAAGAAGTAATTTTGAAAAAAGCTCCCAAAGTTACCAAGGATGTAACAACAGAAAGATTAGAAGAAGTTCAGTTAAGACCGACGAAGGTTGAAAAAAAAGATATCCACGGATTTAATATAGAACTAATTAAGTTGAAATCCGTGCCTAAAGAAGCAACAGATAAAATTATAATAACCGAAGAATATGCCAGCGATAATATTACGACTGAACTTTATAAGGAGCAAGAGGATAATACTCTGTTAAAAACATCGCGTCGTTTAGATGAAACTTTGTCGAAAAAAGAGAAACAGGAGAAACCAAGATTATGGTCGGAGGAACAAATTGTTTTAAAGAAAATAAAACCAAAGACAAAAACAACTTCCGAATTGGACGTAGAAAAAATAAATTTTCTTGAACAAGAGGACACTTCTTTGCTTTCAATTGTAAAGGATGCAGAAATACAAAAATTAAAAAAAGAAAAACCTATCACGGAGAAGGTAGAACAACCTAAGCCTTGGACGGAGGAAAAAATCGCTTTGAAAAAGGCAAAACCGGAAAGAAAGGAAATACCTAAGGAAATCCTCGAAACTGTTTCATTGAAACCTTTGCAAATAGTAAAGAAAGATCTCGTGGAATCAACGTTAGATAAGGCAGATCTAAAACCAATTTTAAAAGAAGAAGCTGAAGCAATTTCAACGATTACACGAATTGATGTCACTACAGACAAAAAAGAGAGAAGAGCAAGCAAAGACGTGGATAAAACAATCATAGATAAGGAAGATAAGACAAAACCATGGACAGAAGAAAAAATTATTTTGAAAAAATCTAAACCTATTCAAAAAGAAATTGAAAAAGAGATAATAGAAACGGTACAATTAAAGTCATCTAAATTTATTAAACCAATATCTCCAAAACCAGATTTGGAAAAAATAAATTTGAAACCTGTCATAAAAGAAACAAAAAATAATAGAGAAATCGATAAAACTGCTGAATACGTTGAACAAGAAGATATTACATTGCTTCAAGTTTCAACTGAGATGTACGATGATATTAAATTAAAAGCAGATACAAGAAAAAAGTTAGTACGAGAAGAAAAACATATCGACGAAGATATTACGACGTATAAAGAGAAAGAAGATATTACTTTGCTTAAAGTTACGTCAGAGCATGAAACCAACATTCATAAAAAGATAAAAAAGCAAGAGGACGTGCCACAAGAAAAGCCTCAGTCAAAGACATGGATGGAAGAAAAAATAATCTTAAAAAGGACAAAACCGGAGCAAAAAGAAATATATAAAGAAACTCTCGAGGAAGTATCATTAAAGCCAACATCAAGGTCAGATAAAGTAATATTAAAGAAAGAATCAATAGAGAAAGTAGATTTAAAACACATCAAAATAAAAAGTACAGACTTGACTGGAGTCGTACAGCAAGAAAACGAACCATACCACGAAGAAGAAGATAAAATAATTATAAAAATGGACGAAGATATTGAGTCTACCAAAAAAATAAGCAGTGAGAAAAAATCTAAAAGTATACCATATACGGAAAAGGAAGATACTACGATCCTCGATATCAATAGAACTGATAATATAATTGAAAAATATAAAAAAGAAGGAATACCATGGGTTAGAGGTAAAAAAGCAGGAGAAAAAAAAGAAGTTGAGGAAATAAGAACACCTCAAATAATTAAACCTGAAGTTAAACTGGAAGAAGATAAACCTACGGAAATTTCCGAAGCTCCATGGCGCCGTAAACCAAAATCATCAATTCAAAAAAAGATTTCAGAAACTGAAACTGATAAAACAAAATTTGACATTAAAGAAGTATCCAAAGCAACATGGCAAAAATCTGAAAAAAGTAAAACAACGAAATCTATTGAAGAAAAAGCTCAAATTGAAGATTTCACATCTGTTGTACTAAAACCGGCAAAATGGCACGAAAAACCGAAAGAACAAAAAATGATACAAGAAATTACACTACATTCAGCAAAACAATTACCTAAAGAAAAAGAAGACCTCACGCATACACCGGTGAGAAAGGAAATATCCAAACCAGAAACTTCACCTGAAAAAATCGATGAAATTAATGGAGATATATTAACAAAAAAAATGGACATACCATGGAGACGTGCAAAAAAATTAACTCAAACTGAGCAGAAACCTGAAGATTTACAGTTAAAACCTATTAAAAAAATAATAAAACCAGAGGAAGCACAACCTGAGGAAGTTATATTGAAACATGTCAGAAAACTTCCTAAAGAGGAAGAATCAAAAGATGAAATCGTGTTGAAACCAGTACAAAAAGAAACAGTTGAAGAGAAACCGGAACAGGTCCGATTGAAGCCAGTGAAAAAAATGGACAAACCCGAAGAGCCGAAACCAGAGAAAATTGTATTGAAACCTGTGAGAAAACTTCCTAAAGACGAAGAATCAAAGGAAGCAATTACTTTGAAACCAGTGGAAAAGGAAAAAGTTGAAGAAACACTGGAGGAGATCCGATTGAAGCCAGTAAAAAAGACAGAAAAACCCGAAGAGCCGAAACCAGAGCAAGTTGTACTGAAACCTATTAAAAAGCTCGTCAAAGAAGATGTATCAAAAGAAGAAATTACTTTGAAACCAGTAGAAAAGAAAAAAGTTGAAGACATACCGGAAGAGATCCGATTGAAGCCAGTGAAAAAGATAGACAAACCTGAAGAGCCAAAACCAGAGCAAATTGTATTGAAACCTGTTAGAAAACTTCCTAAAGACAAAGAATCAAAAGAAGAAATCACTTTAAAACCAACGGAAAAGGAAACAGTTGAAGAAACATCAGAGAAGATTCGATTAAAACCAGTGACAAAAATGGATAAACCCGAAGAGCCGAAACCAGAGCAAATTGTACTAAAACCTGTTAGAAAACTTCCTAAAGACGAAGAAACAAAGGAAGAAATTACTTTGAAATCAATAGAAAAGAAAAAAGTTGAAGAAATACCGGAGGAGATCCGATTGAAGCCAGTGACAAAAATGGATAAACCCGAAGAGCCGAAACCAGAGCAAATTGTACTAAAACCTGTTAGAAAACTTCCTAAAGACGAAGAAACAAAGGAAGAAATTACTTTGAAATCAATAGAAAAGAAAAAAGTTGAAGAAATACCGGAGGAGATCCGATTGAAGCCAGTGACAAAAATGGATAAACCCGAAGAGCCGAAACCAGAGCAAATTGTACTAAAACCTGTTAGAAAACTTCCTAAAGACGAAGAAACAAAGGAAGAAATTACTTTGAAATCAATAGAAAAGAAAAAAGTTGAAGAAATACCGGAGGAGATCCGATTGAAGCCAGTGACAAAAATGGATAAACCCGAAGAGCCGAAACCAGAGCAAATTGTACTAAAACCTGTTAGAAAACTTCCTAAAGACGAAGAAACAAAGGAAGAAATTACTTTGAAATCAATAGAAAAGAAAAAAGTTGAAGAAATACCGGAGGAGATCCGATTGAAGCCAGTGACAAAAATGGATAAACCCGAAGAGCCGAAACCAGAGCAAATTGTACTAAAACCTGTTAGAAAACTTCCTAAAGACGAAGAAACAAAGGAAGAAATTACTTTGAAATCAATAGAAAAGAAAAAAGTTGAAGAAATACCGGAGGAGATCCGATTGAAGCCAGTGACAAAAATGGATAAACCCGAAGAGCCGAAACCAGAGCAAATTGTACTAAAACCTGTTAGAAAACTTCCTAAAGACGAAGAAACAAAGGAAGAAATTACTTTGAAATCAATAGAAAAGAAAAAAGTTGAAGAAATACCGGAGGAGATCCGATTGAAGCCAGTGACAAAAATGGATAAACCCGAAGAGCCGAAACCAGAGCAAATTGTACTAAAACCTGTTAGAAAACTTCCTAAAGACGAAGAAACAAAGGAAGAAATTACTTTGAAATCAATAGAAAAGAAAAAAGTTGAAGAAATACCGGAGGAGATCCGATTGAAGCCAGTGACAAAAATGGATAAACCCGAAGAGCCGAAACCAGAGCAAATTGTACTAAAACCTGTTAGAAAACTTCCTAAAGACGAAGAAACAAAGGAAGAAATTACTTTGAAATCAATAGAAAAGAAAAAAGTTGAAGAAATACCGGAGGAGATCCGATTGAAGCCAGTGACAAAAATGGATAAACCCGAAGAGCCGAAACCAGAGCAAATTGTACTAAAACCTGTTAGAAAACTTCCTAAAGACGAAGAAACAAAGGAAGAAATTACTTTGAAATCAATAGAAAAGAAAAAAGTTGAAGAAATACCGGAGGAGATCCGATTGAAGCCAGTGACAAAAATGGATAAACCCGAAGAGCCGAAACCAGAGCAAATTGTACTAAAACCTGTTAGAAAACTTCCTAAAGACGAAGAAACAAAGGAAGAAATCACCTTGAAACCAATTGAAAAAGAAAAAGTTGGAGAAAAGCCGGAGGAAGTCCGATTGAAGCCAGTAAAAAAGATAGAAAGACCCGAAGAGCCGAAACCAGAGCAAGTTGTATTGAAATCTGTTAAAAAACTCGCCAAAGAAGAAGTATCAAAGGAAGAAATTACTTTGAAACCAGCAGAAAAGGAAGAACTCAAAGACATAAAGTCACAACCAGTATCTGAAATGCTAACAGAAATTATAGAGGAAAAACCCAAAAGTAAACAGCCAATAGAAATAATTGAAACTCCTTGGCGACGTAAGCGAACAAAGAAAGTCGTTGATTTTAAGGATGAAGTAACAATAGTGCCTATTGATCAAGAAGAATCTGTTATAGACGTTTATGAAGAAAAAGAAGCAATGATAATTACAAATAAAGATACTCAAGATCTATTTGAACAAAAGTTAGAAACTGTGCCATCATTTAAAGAAGATAAGGTAACAGACGAAGTTATTACAGGTGAAGTTTCGTGGAGAAAGAATAAACAAATACATTTAAAGACAAAAGAAGAAAAAGAAATGGTTATGTTAAAATCCATTGGAGAAGTGGAAAAATTAGACCTAAAACAACCCGAAGGACATGTATTAGCTTTTATAGAAGATGAAAAATTACCCGAAGAGACATACGAGGAAGACAAAGTTTTCGAATTAAAATCCGTAAAGCTTGCAGAGCAAATAGCAGAAATTTCAGAAGAGAAAGATGAAATCATTACTGAATCAGTTGTAATAAAATCTAAGATAAAAGAAAAAGTGTCTGAAAAAGTCGCTTCTAATATTATCGATGAAGAAGCTGTCAAGTTACAAATTAAAGCAGATGTCACACAAGTAGAAGATCGTAAGAGAAAACGTAGACAACGTACTCAGGTCGACATATCAATTACAGATAAAGATAAAACGATAGCTCCAAGATTTATTCAAAAATTACAACCTGTTATCGCTGAGTTGAAAAAAACTGCCAAATTTACATGTACTCTTATAGGAAATCCATTGCCTGAAATTTCTTGGTATAAAAATGAGCAAGAACTCCATGCAAGCGAAAAGTATACTATGACTATATTTGAGACAACAGCAACCTTAGAAATCACAAACGTCAAAGAAGAAGACGCTGGAATGTATTCTTGTAGGGCATCTAATCCAGCTGGTGTGGCAACATCCACTGTCAACCTTGTAATATTTGGTAAAAATATGAAATATAAATTTTTTAACTTTTACAATTTGGATTTATTTAATTGTTTGATATTTTTACTTGTTCTATTAAATTTCTTTTATAGATACAGGAATATTATGAGATATATAATTTTTATAATCTTTTTGTAAAATTAGATAAGTTTACATTTTTTACTACAAATACTTCATTTAAATATATATATATATTAATAATTTTTAATTATATCAATAATTTTTAAAATAAGAAATAACATCTATCTATAAATATAAATAGATTAACAATAATTTACGGGATAACTAATATAAAGTAGATGTACGACATACGGTAATTATAAATATTAAATATCACATATTTTCAAGAATGCAAAATATTTATCCTTTCAGAAAAAGAAGAGGAAGGCATAGCTCCGCATTTTTCAACGCCGATTAAACCGTTAATGATTGAAGAACATACACCTGCTTTATTAGAATGTATTGTAACCGGTATGCCAATACCTGAAGTGAAATGGTATCGTGACGAAAAAGAAGTAAAACCAAATGAAAGAACGGAGTTGAGTTTCAACCCAACTACGGGAGAAGCTAAACTAAAAATTTTAGAACCAATGTCCGAAGATGAAACAATTTATCGTGTTCGTGCTATAAATAAATATGGCCGCGCTGAATGCAGAGCTAATTTAGTGATCAGTAACATCGTTAAAGTGAGCAAGCCAATTGTTCTCAGAGCACCGCGAATTACACGACCTTTGTCTGCTTTAATAATTGAGCGTGGAAAGTCTCTGAAACTTCTAGCTGATTTTGACGGCATACCGAAACCAGAAGTCAAGTGGTTCCGCAATGGTATTGAAATTACACCGACTAACAAACGCAAAATAGACATTTATGAAAGTACAACCGAATTAAATATAATAGAAGCAACAAACAAAGATAGCGGCAAGTATGAGATAAGAGTTCAGAATGAAGTCGGTGAAGCGAGAAGCTCGAGTTCTGTTACTGTTAAAGAACGCAAAGACACTATGGACGAAGTAAAAGCACCAATGTTTGTGGAACCTATTCAGCCTCAACTTGTTGCAGAAGGAGAAGTTGTTATCATGGAAACACGAGTAGAATCATATCCAGCAGCATCTTTTCAGTGGTTCCATGAAAGCAAACCTCTTGAGGTACTTTTTCCAAGTTCTGTGCTTGTTTAAAATAAATCTTTAATGTTTGCGTGTAACGGTATATCATCCACAATTTCATTAAATTAATAAAAGATATAATTTGTTGCAGTCGACACCACAAGTAAGAATTGTGACTCAAGAAAATCGATCAATCTTAATGGTGAAAGAAGTCACATCAGAATTTGCTGGTAATTACACATGTCGTGCTGAAAATGTCGGTGGTTCGGTTACTTGTACAGCCACCGTTAATTTGATGGAAATAACATGGGAAGAAGCAATTGAATTAATCTCACCGACATTTGTAAAGAGACTATCACCTATAAAAGTTATGGACGGTGAGAGTGTTAATTTAACCTGCGTCGTTGAAGGGAAACCAACGCCCAGAGTGGAATGGTATCACAACGACATGCCAATTAAAGAAGGAAAAGAAATTACAATTATTCAGGATATGGAAGGTGTTTGTAGTTTAGCTATTACCGAAGTATTCCCGGAAGATGCTGGAGAATATACCTGTCGTGCTGTGAATCCTGTTGGCGAAGCTGTTTGCATGTCAACGCTCATTGTTGAAGGTATATTATTCGACGCAAACAGCTATGATTTTAAATGTCTATTTTACAAAATTTACTTTTTTTAGCGTACGAGTATGTGCCGGATTCTGAAATTGCATCTTCAATAGTCGCGACATCTCTTACTACAGGACAAAGTGGATCAGAAGAAGATCTTCTATCTCCGAAAGTAAATACAAAATCTAACATATCCAACAATATATCCTATAGGATTATATTTGGTGTAATATTAGATATTAAAATTGATTTTGACTTTAGGAAACTCCTATTTTCGACACTGATATAGAAGAATCTGTACCAGAGATAATAAAGAAGCTTCCTCAGTTAGTTCCTACTAAAGATGGGGAATTAACTAGGTATGTTTAATATTAAATGATAATTATATCAAATACGAATTAATATGTACATCTGATAAAAAAGTTTATATATAATTAAATATA